TCTATCTTTTTCCGTTCACTTCGCACACCCAAAAGTTTTTTTCCTTCTTCCGGAGTGGGGACAGAGGGGGGGAAGAAAGAAAGAAATTAGAGAATTAGAGCAATGAAAGAAAATCACAAGATTAGAATAAAGGACGACGACGAAGAGGATATATATATATATATATGTATGTATGTATAAAAATTAATATGAATTCGAAAAATATTTTACGATTAAAATTGATACGAAGTAATTAAGAGGTTTACTATAGTTATACATATATATACATATATATATATATATATATAAAACAAAAGTCACGTGGAAAGACACGGATTCGAATAATCTAAAAAGAATAAATCTAACGCGGAAGCGCGAACGACGGGATGATGATGATGCTGGGAGGTATATCCGCGTTTGGTCCGACCACCACAGCGGGGCGCGCGACGGTGGTATGCCGCCGCCGGTTCTATATTCCTCCTCTACTTGCTACACCCCTAAAACACCCTCGCCCAAAGTCTTCCCTTCTCTTTCTTTACAATTCACCTGCGCTTGCGTACATAAATCCTAATTCTCTTTCTCTCGCTCTGTTTGAACCACCACCACTTTCTATGTATTATCACTCAGCACAATACAACGAACAACACCATTAAAATATTTTAACCTTTAAAAATCCAGTCAGTTCTTTTATTTAAAACCCGTACAACAAAAACAGTGCGCGATCTCAACGGTGGTATATCACTAAAATGCGAAAGAAGATATCCCTTCTGGTATAATCTTTTTCCTCTCTTTTTCTCTCTCTCACTTTGGTAATCTTTTTCTCTTTCTTTCTCTCTTCCCCTTCCCTAGGTACATACGTACGTACCATACGTACGTATATTTGAACGTATAGATATAGATGTAAATACATGTACATAGATGTATATATACATATATATTGGAAGGAAACGCACAATCCCCCTACTACAGCGCTAGAACAGGGTGGGGCACGTCGTCGTCCGTCCAGCATGGAAGGCTACCCGGGTCGATATTACGCACCTACACATCGTAGGACAACACCTACTCTTTCTCTCTCTCTCTCTCTCTCTCTCTCTCTCTCTCTCTCTCTCTCTCTCTCTCTCTCTATCCCCCTATCTAACTATCTATCTATCTCTATCTCTCTTTCTCTAGCTATCTATATGCATCCCCCCTCCTCTTCTTACTCCACCTACTTCTCCCATCTCCACCCCTCTTTTAGATTCCATCTTATAGCAGGAAACAGCTCTACGCAGTAGCAACATCGAGGACTCAACTCAACACTTCGATTTTGGTTTACTCATACGCATGCACACGTATACACGATCTCTCTCTCTCTCTCTCTCTCTCTCTCTCTCTCTCTCTCTCTCTCTCTCTCTCTCTCTCTCTCTCTCTCTCTCCAGATCATAATCATTTTACTTTTTTCTTTTTTATTTTTTTATTCACATACTTTTACCATTCTTAAGTACTCCACTTTGATTTGCTTTAAACTTTACTTTACTTAACTTAAGATCGGCCTCATTTATTATCAAGATAACGTGATTCGGCTTTGTAACTTTTGAGTGACATATTACTGTAGGCGAGGGCGGAGCGGGGTGATGGTATTATTGATAAGAATGGTTTTTATCAGATCTTTTTCTGTCTTCGAGAGAGAGAGAGAGGGGGGGGAGGAGGAGGGGTAGGAGAGACTTTTGTTGTTGGGACGAGATAACGATTTGAGTAGTTCCTTTTTTTTTTTTTTTTTTTTTTTTTGGAGAATATACGTCATTGTTCAATTTAAATTGAAGATGTAATCATTCTTGTCTCTCATCTTTTTCTGTATTTGCGCGTGTAATCTTGAAAAAAGAAAAAAGAAAAAAGAAAAAAAGAAAAAAGAAATATATATATAGATATATATATATACGATGTTCTGACATGGCAATGAAAATGACGACAGTTCTCGATAAACAATGCGACCGATATGTCTCATCGTTCTCAGTTACGCAAGCAAAGCAATTAACCATTAACAGGAACACCATCGTCGATTTTAAACCTAATCTACAATCTGATAAAAGAAAGACAAAAAAGGGAAAGAAAAAAGAGGGGGAAAAAAAAAAGAAAAAGGAAATGAAAGAAAAAAAAAATTATCAAATTTTATCTCTTCATGAGATTATATTTTCTTCCACTTTTTCTTTTAATTTTATCTTTAAATTCATCATCGATATTTTTTCAGCTGTGATATAGCAAAAATTTTTTTTTCATTTTTAAAAGAACCTACGTAATCACGTAGAGTTATAGTGGTATAATCGAACGTGATGGTTGTGAGAGTTATGTAGCATTTGCTTAATACGAAGAGAGAAAGAGAGAGAACGCGTACGGTCGAATTACAATGAAGAAGAACAGATGAATGGACGAACGTAATCGTCGTTTTCCGGGATGATGTCAAAACGTAAGGAAAATTGTCTTTTAAAATTGCATAAAAGAAATATTAAGTTTTCACGGTCAATTCTACTCGAAAGTAGAAAAAGAAAGAGAGAGAGAAAGAGAGAGAGAGAGAGAGAGAGAAAAAAATTTTTCAAATTATAAGACATCACGATGAAATAAAAATTTTTAATTTATCCCGCTATTATCGGCCATGAAGGCGGTAACACGTCGCGCCATCTGTTAACTCTTCGCTCAAGTTTCTATCAACCCGAAGGATAACATATGGTAATGCAGATTATACTACGGTACTGACATTGTTTTAATAAACAATAATTCTACTATTTTTTTTTCTTTCCTTTTTAATTTATAGACCGGTATGATAGGTAATTATTCTTATGTAACAGTGACAAGAAGAGAACCCATGCAGTATATATTTTATGTATATATCGTATACATAAATCTATTTTACTTACAGCATAGATAGCACGAATTTTTTCGCTATCGGACCGAATCGGAATACGTTAAATTTCATTTGTCGATACTGCTGTAACATAAGGATTATAAAAAAAATTTTTATTGATTATCAAAATCTCCTTTATTTTTTTTGTTCTTCATCGAAAACAATAACGAATCGTTTTACCAACTTATTATTCTGTTTCTATCTTCTTCCTTTCTTCTGTTCGTAAAAAAAAAAAAAAAAAAAAAAAAAAGGATTCACGTGACAATCGTAATGCTTCTCTCATTAGAGCACACGTACGAAAGAGATTTTGTTTACAAAATCTATTGGCAACAACATCTGTCATACGTTATGCAAGACAGTAATCGAATGACAGTATTACGAGAGTACGTACTCTAATTTTGTCTTGTACATATGTTCAAACAAGACATTGGCACTTGTAATATCCTAACCTATAATATACATAATGATGAATAATAATAAGAACGATAACTTGGCGCATAAATGATTTCAACAAATTTATATATCTTTTTTTTTATTTTTCTTTCTTATTTTATATATATATATATATACATACATACATAGAGGTATATAATATATATCTTCATCTTATTTTTTATGTATCTGATATTCTTATTATTATCTATTCTATTTTTTATATATTATTATTATTATCATTATCATAACAGACATTTATTATATATATATATATATATTTTTTTTTTCATTCATATTAAATATATACATAATTTTTTTTCCCCTTCAAAATGTCTATAAATATATCTCTCTCTTTCTTACACAAATCTCTTTCATAAAACGAAAGCATAAATGTTTAATGGTAAACTATGACATAATAATATCTCGGACGATGTTGTAGATATAAAAAGCTTTCCGATATTTCTCATTTTGATATTTTTATATTGGAAATTAATTGGATCGTATTAAAGAAAGGTAATTGTCGATCGTTTGAAAATACGACCCCATGATGAGCGTAATGTCAAGGATACAATATGTATTTATGTGTGTATAGTAATCATCTATAGGTGTTAAAGTGGAAGCACGTTAATAAATTATTTCGGTAGAAATAATTTAGGACTAACGATAAATTGCAATGAAATTTTCAGACGGGAAAGAAAAAGAAAAAAGATAAGAACTGACAAACAAAACTAGGTATTTAAATTTAATGTAAATTTACATGATAATCTTAATGTAAATTTACATGAACGTGAATTTGTATTTTTTCCCTCTTTCTTTCTTTTTTTTTTTGTTTTTTTTTTTCTTTACTATTTTAGTTTCATTCTTAAAGATCATTTTTCTTTCTTTCTTCTCCCCCTACCCCCCCCCTTTTCTTTTAATATTACAGAATAGACATAAAGAGTTTGATTCAAATATGAGAATTACAATCGCAAAGCTAGGAATGTAAGTCAATGTAAGTCATTGTAGAAGTCAATATGGTATACATATATAGAACGTCAACGACGCGACATTCAAACCGTAATACGGTACATCTGGCTTTTAAATAATCGAAAAGCTTCGACGTCGTACTACTACTACTACTACTATTACTACTTTTTACCTAACTTCTTATACTTTTTCTTATTTATTTTTTTTCTTTTTTATTTTTACACTGAAAACTTTCCAACTCTACATATAAAGTATATACATATATATATGTAGACTGTTTTGTAAGCTTGCAACTTAGGTCTCCATATTTTAATACAAATACATATGTACACTTTCATTTGGCTAATTCAATCTGTAATATTTTGTAGGTTTCATTGTTGAAAAAAAAAAAAAAAAGAATAAAAGAAGAAAAGAAAAAGAAAAAAAGAACAATTATTATTTTTATTTTTTTTTTTATTGCAACATAATAGAAATTTGTTGTATTACCAAAATCATAGACTGCGCTGTGCGACAAATTTGTTATTGTAAAAAAAAAGAAAGAAAGAGAGAAAGAAAGAAAGAAAAACAAAAATCAATTCTATAATGAAACATACAAAATTTATCACAGAGCTGGGTCAAACGAAAAAGATTTTGTAAAAATGTAATTAACAAAGCAAAAGGGAAAAAATAAAGAAGGAAAAAAATGGACAAAAGATGCAAAAATAATATGTCGTAAAAATATATATATATATATGTAACTCACTTATTCATATACGCATACTTGTAAATACTTGTTCCGTTACACGAGTCTGGCAACTATCAATTTCCGTTTTGAATTAACAAAGTTAGAATGTATATGTGGATCACTCAAACGAACGCTCATCTCCGGTCGTCTGACCAACGAGGAAGCTTCTAAGAAATTCAAATTCTTTTACTGACATCTTATTAGTCTTTCTTTTCTTTTTTCTTTTCTTTCGAGATCATCGATTCGTTCGAAACAGTGGTTCTTTAATAAAAAAAAAAAAAAAAAAAAAAAAGAAAGAAAGAAAAAAAAACCATAAATACGAATCAAAAATTAATTGAAATTTTTCAGGAAAATTTGTAAAAAAAAAAAAAAAAGAATCAAATTCTTTTTTTACTAACACTTCTTTCCCCTCCTTTCGGCTATCGAGATTATTGATTGATCGATAACAATGGTTCTTTATAAAAATTGTAAATACGAAAATTAAATTCTTTTACTAACCTCTTATTCGTTATTTTTTTGTTTGTTTGTTATCGAGATTGTTGATTGGTCGTAACGGTGGTTCTTTATAAAAAATATATATATAAATAAATAATGTATAAATCACTGGCAATTTTTTTTAAGAAGACATAAGAAATTTAAATTCTTTTCCTAACATCCTAGTGGCCATTTTTTTTTTCTATCGGAATAGCTGATTGGTCGAAATGAGTGGTTCTTTTAAAAAGAAAAAAAAAGAAAAAAAAAAGAAGAAAAAAAAATTATGACGTGTTATAAATCACTGCAATTTTTTTGTGGACAACGAAGAAAAGAAACAATCAACATTCATTGTTTCAACTAATTCACCTAATATACTAATGAAGGAGAGAGTCATATATTATTTGAGAATCACTGTGCATTGCCGAGGCATCTTTGGTAAAGCCTTCTTACGTAACTAGGGCTGCACCCACTCTCGTTACTTCCTCGATCGTCGGGAGCGAGCAACCGCAACGGATATTAGACGAATTGTTCTTTTGTAACCATCGATAATCGATTAGTTCGAGGAATCGATTTACAAGGAGCGTTAATCGAATAACAAATCGATTAAACTAACCCCAATTGATATCGGATCGATCAAATCCAATCCGTAACACAAAAAAGTAACATTTCTATCTAGGTGCGTTTGCGTCCGTGAATAATTGATCTGAATTTTTCATTTAATATATATATATATATATATATATATATATATATATATATATTTATGTATATAAAATAAAAAAAGAATAGGAAAAACAAAATTTTTATATTTACATATCGACCTATTCGAGGTTATGAAGTTGTGAATGAGAACCGATATCGATCTACCTTTGAAACGATACCAGGAATGAAATCCGATCGTTAACGAACGATTACGAAGGAGACCGAAGGAACGCGCTTGGAAACAATCAAATGGATTCGCCGGCATATGGCGAATCCTGTTATATTCACGACGAACGTTCAACGTTCGGCTATGATCGAGGAACAAAAAAAAAAGAAAAAAAAGAAGGAAAGAAATGTCAATATAAGAATAGAGATATTAAAGTGCCAGTTTAAACTAAGAAATTCAAATTTTAAATAGAAACTTTAGAATTAATAATATTGTTATTGAGTGAACGCGAAAACTTTTATATACGTTCGATCAGAAAAACGACAAATATTTTGAATATCGTATAACCTTAAGCCTTTTCCATATAACATTTTCACATTTAACCTAGACGTTTATATATATATATATATATATATATATAGCCATATATAACGAGGAAAAAAATTTCAAAATGGTCGACGATAATAATTGTATTAAATAATTATATTGAGAGATAGAGAGAGAGAGAGAGAGAGAGAGAGAGAGAAAAGGAAGATATATGAAACGTTTCTTTCTTTTTACATTCCTTCTTTCTTTGTTCCTCTTTTTTATTTCTTTTTTTTCTTTTTTTATTTTAATTTACTCGAGAAACTTGCACAAAGAAGTGATAATATAGCGTGTTCGCCAAGGATCTTTCTAACCTATAAAAAAAAAAAAAAAATGGAGCCTCTCTTCTCTTCTTCTCTCCTCGTCTATCTTATTCATCTTTGTGGTAATTCGATAAATTTTTTATCGCAAAAAAAAAAAAAAGAGAAAGGGAACAGAGACAGAAAAAGAGAGAAAAAAGAGAGAGAATGAGAGAGGGAGAAAGAGAAAAAGAAAAAGAGAGAGAGAGAGAAAAAGAGAGAGAGAAAGGAATAGAAAAAAGATAAAAAAAAATAAAATATGTCTGACTCACCTTTATTGGTAGAGGCAAGAAGAGAAGATAAGACGAAAGAATCCGTCGATAGGTAGTACGTAGGTTGTGCAGTGGTATAGATGCTGCAACGCAAGTTTTACTTGATGATTATTCGGTTCGGTCGTTTCCTTTCTCTCTCTCTCTCTCTCTCTCTATCTCTCCTCTTTCTCCGTTAAATCTTCTTCTCTCCGAGAGTATACCGTCAGATACGTCTCGTGCGATCACCGTTCGGCTACCAAGTGCCCGCGTCGCGGAATAAACTCGCCTCGCGACAGCGACCGAAGTGAGCCAACCCCCCCACCCTAACCTTTCCTTCCTTCCTTCCTTCCTTCCTTCCTCCCTTTACTCCCTTTTCAACATGACTCTCGTCTCATCTCGTCCCGCCAGATTGCGCACCGCACGTTTTGCGTTCCATCGTTTCGCTGTTTCAATTCTGATCATCTATTTTTTTTCCTTTCTTTTTGTTTTTTTTTAATTTTATTTCACCCTCCCTCTCCTTTATTCCTTTCCTTCGTTTTTCTTTTTTCCTCTCTTTTTTTTATTAATAATTAATAATAATAATAATTATTATTATTATTATACATTAATTCTTATTATTATTATTATTATTATTATTATTATTATTATTATTATTATTATTATTATTATTATTATTATTATTATTATTATTGTTGTTGTTGTTGTTGTTGTTGTTGTTGTTGTTGTTATTATTCAATAGTATTAATTTGATCGAATACACGAACGAATTTAATTTTTCGTTAATCTTTCGTATGGTAAAAATCGTGGATATTTTCAGGTTTCTCTTTTTTTGTCTGTAATATATATATATATATGTGCGTACATACGCGTCGAAGATTTTATGAGTTATATGGGAGACTGTAGTTGAGTCACCTGGCAGGTTCCAAGTTCGTTCTCGACCTGCTTACTCGAGAGACCGGATCGAGCCCGATCTCTTGTATATATATATATACATATGTACGAACTATGTATATGTGTATGTACATAGTAGCTAACTGTAGGGGCCAAGGTCTTTCCTTTACTACTTCATATGAATCATCTTTCGCTTGATTTCGTTTACATAGTTTCCTTTGAGAACGAAAATCGTTTACATTTATCTTCCAAATCTTTCATTATTCCTCGCGATAGAAAGATCTACTTTAATCTGTACTTTATTCATAAAATTAATCCCTATTTCGAAGAAATTTTTATATTTTATTTAAATAAAAATTATTTACATATTAATTTTACCAAATGATCTTTATGTTTCAGTTTCGAAATGTTCCTCTCGTTTAAATAAACTTATAACATACACACACATATACATATATATACATGTATATACTACGTACAGTTCGTACGTGTAATTACTTCTTACCGTGTGAGTCCGAGTTACGTGTGACGTAGCTTCCGGAGAACGCTGGAATTCCGTTTAGCGGAATGGCCGGCCGGCCGGTTGTGAAATCAGCTGCACACAAACTCTCCAAGCATTGTTGTAGGTCGTGCTAGGATTTATCTCTTGGTTTAGTCCATCTGTCTGTCTGTCTGTCTGTCTGTCTGTCTCTCTTTCTCTCTCTTTTTCCTTCTCTCTCTCTCTCTCTCTCTTTCTGTTCTCTCAGAGTGCCAACTTCCCCTCTTACCACCCGTCGCTATCCTCTTTTGGCCTAGAGAGAAGACCGACCGAGAGCAGAGCGCAGAAGTGTGGAATGTGGGATGTGAGAGGGGTGACCGAGAGGAAAGGGGAACATTAAAGGTCGCTCGAATGCGGAGAGTGGATCAATACCGAACCTACATACCTACCTACCCTATCGAACCCAATAGAAGTAACCACCGGATCAAATCTCGTTTTTCTTCTCTATATCTCTTTCTCTCTCTCTTTCCTCACTCTTATCCATTTCCACCCCTCGCAGCTATCTCTCTCTCTCTTTCTCTCTCTCTCTCTCTATCTCTCCCTCTCAGATTTAAAAAATCCTACAGCCCTTGCCATCTTGATTTAAATACGTGTTTTCATTAATATCTTACTATTAGACGAGATCAAGTGATATTAATTATTCGATACATTTTTCATACATAATTATTTTATATCTGAAATTTTTTCTTCATCCTCTATCGTCTAAGCCCATTCATTATTATTATTATTGTTATTATTATTATTATTATTATTGATTAATATTTATTACAAATATTGTTACGATATAGATCACGTGATCATTCCTCTTAAGTATCATCCATCTTGACGCTTAGGATTATTTTTAATCCTCGAAATTATCTGACAAACAAACATACTCCGATAATATCGGTTTAATTTTATTTAATAATTATTGTCAATTATTTTTAAATAATTATCTTAAAAATTTACTTCTACGAAAAATCATGCGATATATCTTTTCATATCTCATACGTATATGTATTTCTTTTTAATTCTCATTTTCTAATCACTTAAATACATTCTATTCTCTGATATATCATTAATATTACTGATATTATTTTTTAATTCATTCTACGAGAATTATAACCTAATATTAATCTCGAAAACATTCTAATATCGCTTTAAGATCATTATAAATAATTATTATCCCTTTTTGTTTTTTTTTTCTTGTTTTATTTAGAAATAATTAAGAAATACCACGTGGCATCCTTCTTAAGTACTACCTTAATATGAATATTATTTTTAATGTCAGAATAATCTCTCCAATGTATTCTCTAATTTAATACTATACATTAATTATTTCTCAAGAATATTACAATAATTAATATTATTTTAAAAATTCCACGAAATTCCGGAATGAGAGAGAGAGAGAGAGAAAGAGAGAGAGAGAGAGAGAGAGAAAGAAAGAAAGAAAAAAAGAGAGACATCTCAAAATAGATTGAGACTCGTGCGTTAAAAGTTTGTTCCACAAATTTTTCTCTTTCTAACTTCTTACACGTGGTTAGAATATCGTTAGAAAAGCAAAATCTAATATCTCGAGTATCAAGTGTTAACATTGTACATGTATCATTGATAGAGTCCGATTAGATTATACGTTCTTTTCCAATGACAAAAAAAAAAAAAGAAAAGAGAGAGAGAAAGAGAGAGAAAAAATACCATTATCGATTAGCTGCTACTCGTATCAGATTACATCAAAGGTGGTACATAAGTATAAACAACGATCTACACAAATGGATATTATCGATCGACGACTCCTATATCCCCCTTTTGTACCCTTTCATATAGTTTTGTATCGTTCAAATTGGTTTCCATTATTACCTATAATCTCTTACACTTTTTTGTCTTTTTTCTTCTTTTTCTTTTATTTCTTTCATTTCTTTTTTTTTCGGATTATGCAACCTCAGCGCAAAAATGCACGCATAGATGCAGGAGGAGAGTCAATTTTTGTTCCATTTTAGCGATATCCTAAAAAATTTCTTTTTTGCTCTTTTTCTTTTGTCAATAATATATTATCATTATAGTGCGTACAAGAACGCATGCGCACTTATATAAAAGCATGTAAAATTTTTTTCTCTTCGGTTATTCTAACATTCTCAAATTTTCTTTGTAATATATATAATGAATGCAAAAAAAATGTATATATACACGTATATAGAATTGCATAAAATTTCTAATAAATACACACACATATACACAATTTTCAGTGATATCGCCGAGTTTCTCATGCTAAAGGCTGATCGATCTGTTGACGAATCAGATTGAAGATTATGTAATAAGGAAGGCAGAGGGAGAGAAAGAGAGATAACTATAGCTGCTGTATATCACAAGATAGATAAATCCCAAAAAAATAAAAAAATATATTTACCTCCGTGATTTCTTTCAAAATAAATTGTAAGAATTGATTTCATTTTGTTCCGGAACGATGAAAAGAAATAGAAAAGAAAGAAAGAAAGAAAGAAAGAAAGAAGGAAAGAAAAATAGAAAAAAAATGAAAAA